ATCCTTGGAAAATTATTTAGAAAGCCAATTTTCCAATATTAAAACACATATTTTTTTAAAAAATTTATTTTTGTATTATTTTGAATTAAAATTCTACTATAATAGTCTTATCTAAATATTTAGGATTCAAGATAGGCTATAAAACATTATCTCCATATCATCCCTCCTAATTTTTTAAAAAGTGTATATTAAGTACCTACTCTGTGGCAAGTACTGTGTTTGGTAGGGTTGGAGATAAACTAGGGAGCTTTCCTAGAACAAAATGTGAAATCCAGACACATGCGTCTAAAGTGACTTTAAGCAACACCAGTCTATCAAGAAGCTTGCACAGCCAGAGGGAATGCCTTTGCTGGCTGCATTGAGGCAGATAGTAAATGCTTGAGTTTAGCAAAGGCTATCACATGTGAGGCTACCAGCTTCAGCAGACAATGCCAAATGGGGTAATGGACAAAAACTAGAAGACCCTACTCATGCCATGATGTACACTGAGGCCCTTTGGAGGTAAAGGTTTTGTGACAGAAGGAAGGTAAGCTCAGAAATGGCCAAAACCAAGAGGAGGATGACAGGCAGGTTTAGGGAAGGCTCAAGAGGGAAAAGCAGTACATATGAGAATGAAGACAAACACAGGAGATTTGCTTGTGTCTCAGAATCTGAGGAAAGAAAAATTCTTCAAGCAGACAATACCTAGTTTATAGAGTTTCTATTTGAGTTATTGTTATTTCATTAAAAATAATTGCTAATACTTATATAGTGCATATTCTGTACCAACACTATTCTGAGACAGCTGCAACTCAACACTCACAGCAATTATATACAAAATTAATAATATTATTCCTATTTTGTGGTTGGGGAGATACATAAAGGATTGAGTAACTTGCAAAATTCACATGATTAGTAAGTGTTTGAACTGGGATTCAAACCCACCCAGTCTGGTTCTAGTCTTTTATGTTTCCCACTGTAATATAATACTTCTCAAATAAATGTTTAATAAATAAATGTTTAAATAAAATACTTCTTAATAAAATGTGACCCTTTTCCTCTTAAGGAAAGATTGCCTAAACTTAATGATGTTCCTTCTATCAAAAGTGCTAAAATAGTTAAAGGTTAGCTATGCTGATTATGAAGGATTTGTTCAATATGTACAATCTTTGTTAGGAAAAATTTCCCAAAAAACTATTTTCGTGAGACAAATATAGATGTGTATTATGATATTGTCTCTCTTTTTTCCATTCTTTTTCCTTCCTTCCTTTTTCTTTCTTCTTCAAATAAGCTTTGCTTTTAGTTTTAACTATCCTTGTGATATTCTGCAAATAATATTAATATAGGAAAGATAAAAATGAGTCAATGATAGAATCTCTTTTTTTAATGTTTATTAATTTTTGAGAGAGAGCGTGAACAGGGGAGTAGCAGACAGATAAGGAGACAGAATCCGAAGCAGGCTTCAGGCTCTGAGCTGTCAGCACAGAGCCCAACGTGGGGCTCGAATCCGCAAGTTGCGAGATCATGACCTGAGCTGAAGTCGGACGCCCAACCAACTGAGCCATGCAGGCGCCCCTAGAATCTTTTATTCTTTACTACTGGAGGCCTCCAAAAAATGTTTTTATGTGTGTGACAGGTTCATAATTCTGAATGGTTTACCAATGAACTCTCAATGCCAGAGAAGCAGAGATCTGAAACTACTTCAGTTTGCTTGAAAAATGACCTTTAGATTATTCAGTTCTGGGTCGAGCCCTATTGATGATCCTTTTCACAGTATTTGCCATAATTCCTACTTTTGTTCTGATCTGTTTAAAGATCAGTCTAAATTTGTTTCTCTTTTGAGTTATCCTCATCTTGCTGTTCTTATTGTGTGTATGTGTGTGTCTGTGTTTGCATATAAAATTGATGGATTAAATCTCATCTAAAGATTAGTGTATAAAATGTGATTATCCAAATACTAAGTCAATTTGGAATTTATGATGTTTGATTCATTGAATTCCTGGTTTTCAATTGAGACCAAGTCTTCTCAGTTCATTCATTTTTATTTGCAGCCAAACTCATGCCTAAGTCTTTGTCAATATCATTTACTAATGATCTATGCAATTCAAGTAAAAAGAATTAAAATACAATTGTATGTAAGAATTCATTCTTAAAATGAAATCTCTTCTCTCTGCTTGGTGCAGACTAAATATTACCAAAATCCTTCCTACCAGATTGATTCTTCCCTGCCTAGGTGCCACAAAGGCATGGGGGGAAAGACTTTCTAACAGGGCTGAGACTTTTTGATCCACTTCAGCTGTGCTCGCCTCACCTCATGGTTTCAAAAATCAATGACATATCAGCTTAGTAGTCACTGATCCATGAGGTAATTGCACCTTCTAATATCTTCAGCATAAAGCTTCTGAAATGGGCAGAGCCAATGACCAGAGAGGATAAAACACATTGTGTTTTTTTTTTTTTTTTCAGGTTTGTGATCAAACTGAGAAATAATCATCTCAGCCTGTATTTCTGAAAGAAAAATAATATCGCCCCAGAGGTGTAAAGCTACTGTTAAACACATTTTTATCATATTAAGATTATTATTCTTCTAAACAGCTGACTGTACTGTGCCACAGATTGTATTTACCTGTAAAATTTGTGTGTAGGCTTCCAACCTAATTTATTAAAAAAGCACTACGGATTTCAGGATGGAATAGTAGGCACTTCATTTTGTGGTTAAATATGATGGGAAATTATCCCTATTGCTTTGGTCTACTGCTTAGAGACATCTTAACTAACTAGATAAGAATTCTTTAGGAAAGAGATATGGGCTTAAGTAAATACTAAACAAATTGAGTATTAGCACACAGGGAGAAAGTAAGATTGATGATCTGACAAAACATTAATTAAAAGAAGGAGCATTGCCAAGATTTTCTTGTATAATTCAATTCCACATAATTCAAAGACAAAATTAATTTACTGTTTCTTATTTCACAACAAAGAAAGAGTTTTATATTGATTATTTTTTTAATGTATGTACACATGACATGAGAAAGCTCTGTAATCAGAAACATAGTTTTTTAACCTCAGAGGTTTGCATTTAAATTCCAGAAATCTATGGACACAATAAAACATTTCATTGAAATGAAATGAGTTCTCACTGATTTCTGCAGGTTTGTAGGCATACATAAACATCAAATACCAATATCGGTATTAATTGAAGGAAATAACCTAAAACATTTGGCAGTTTTTACTTTGAGCAGTTGCCAGTTTGCACAGTCCAACATATGCTGAATATTTTATACACAAGTGATTTATTACAGAATTTACCAATGATGACTAACACTATTTTTTATATATTAAATATAATTGATTGTCAAATTGGTTTCCATACAACACCCAGTGCTCATCACAACAGGTGTCCTCCTCAATGCCCATCACCCACTTTCCCCTCTCCCCTACCCCCCATCAACCCTCAGTTTGTTCTCAGTATTTAAGAGTCTCTTATGGTTTGCCTCCTTCCCTCTCTGTGATTTTTCCCCCCTTCCCCTCCCCCCATGGTCTTCTGTTAAGTTTCTCAGGATCCACATAAGAGTGAAAACATATGGTATTTGTCTTTCTCTGCCTGACTTATTTCACTTAGCATAATAACCTCCACGTGGCTACAAAAGGCCAGATTTCATTCTTTCTCATTGCCAAGTAGTATTCCATTGTATATATAAACCACATCTTCTTTATCCATTTGTCAGTTAATGGACATTTAGGCTCTTTCCATAATTTGACTGTTGTTGAAGGGCTGCTATAAACATTGGGGTACAAGTGCCCCTAAGCATCAGCACTCCTGTATCCCTTGGGTAAATTCCTAGCAGTGCTATTGCTGGGTCATAGGGTAGATCTATTTTTAATTTTTTGAGGAACCTCCACACTGTTTTCCAGAGTGGCTGCACCAGTTTGCATTCCTACCAACAGTGCAAGAGGGTTCTCGTTTCTCCACATCCTCACCAGCATCTATAATATCCTGATTTGTTCATTTTAGCCACACTGACTGGCATGAGCTGGTATCTCAGTGTGGTTTTGATTTGTATTTCCCTGATGAGGAGTGACGTTGAGCATCTTTTCCTGTGTCTGTTGGCCATATGGATGTCTTCTTTAGAAAAGTAACGCTATTTTTTAAAGTTTACTTGCCCAAGTATCAGCAGTTTTAAAGATTAAATATCGTTATGTATTGCAGTGCTGAATACACTAATTTAATCCTGAGAAGCTTCTTTAAACTTATTTCATGTCCCTTTTATTTCAAAGATATGATTTCCAAATTTTCATTTCTGTTGAAGACTTCATGCAATTATTGTGTTGAAAATATTTAAGTCATCTGTTTAGTGAGGTAGAGGGATGATTTTTTGCTCCAAATGTATAATAAAATGTCTACCATTACAATGATACCAAAGTGAATACTCCTCAAAATTCTAAATATATAGAAACAGAGATCTGTTTGCAATTGAAATCATAATTTTCAGCAGTAATTGCTTCTAAGATGCTGGTTCTATTAGTGATATAGTGTTGATGTTGCTTAGATGTAACATCAAGGCAAGCCTTGGAACTTTAAATTTTCTACCCTGGGAATACTGTTCCTAGAAAGACAATGTTTGAACAGAAAAAGGACTTTGAGAACCAAATTTATTTGGCTCCACCGGAAATCAGAACTGAAGCATAAACTTAGGTGCTATTATTTTATTAGGAAGTATAATACCAGGAAGTCAGAAATAAGAAAGAGTGAATGAAGGGGAGAGTCAATAAGAGGGTATGGTACTAAGTTACTACCACTGGAAACCAAGTGCAAATGATTGTGTGTTCTCAGGAGACTTTTCTGAAAGGCTACAGAATTCTTGGTCCCAAAGCGTCCATGGTAAGTCAGAGGAGGATGGAAGAGAAAGCGTTCATCCACCAACCATCCTGATCTAAACAGGAGAATGTTCGCCCCCACAGGGTGTTAACTCCATAGGACTTACATTTTTAATTCTTTTTTTTTCTCTCCACAAGCACAGACTCTAACCAGGTCCTGAGAAGTCAGGACCTTCTGGGACAGAAGAAAGCTTTGGGACAAGACTCAGTGGAAGAGCAACATCCTGGCACCCAGAGAAGAAGAGGCTCTGTTGTGCCTGCCTCAAGTTAGGAGAAGCCCATGCATAGTTGGTCCTTACAGTGGTCACTAATGCAGAAACAGTGGCCCAAATTGGAGACAGGTGAGGCCAAGAGAAACCGAAGTGCCGTGTCAAAAGTGTTTGAAACATGGGGCGCCTGGGTGGCGCAGTCGGTTAAGCGTCCGACTTCAGCCAGGTCACGATCTCGTGGTCCGTGAGTTCGAGCCCCGCGTCAGGCTCTGGGCTGATGGCTCAGAGCCTGGAGCCTGTTTCCGATTCTGTGTCTCCCTCTCTCTCTGCCCCTCCCCCGTTCACGCTCTGTCTCTCTCTGTCCAAAAAAAAAAAAAAAACCTTGAAAAAAAAATTAAAAAAAAAAAAAGTGTTTGAAACAAAAGCAGACTTCCTTATTCACACTTGAATTTAAATTTGCAATATAGGGTTGGTTCATTAATCTTTACTGTACATCTGTACAAAAGTGTAGTGCTAGCCAGATGTGTAACAATTTCTGAGTGAACCTTAAAGTCAAGTATGTACATTTTACTTTATTTTTTATGGTGCTAATGTTTATTTAACTATCAAAGATAATGGTCTACCTTGAAGAATAGTTGTATACTTGACTAATAAGATACTTCTGAGCTATTTGACATTTTAAGATTAAAGGAACATTTAATTTCATAATAGATTTCATAATACGCCTAATGTTATAGACCATTTGAAATTAAAAATTTTGAATTTTTTTTTCTGTAGTAGAAAAATTAATTTACTTCTAGTCATGCCAACTAATCATTCATATACATTTCAGAAATGGCAAAGCCATATCATTGACTTTATGATAATTAATATTTCTATTTTATTTTGACTTCTTCCAGAACTTTTTTTTAAAATTTCTCCATAATGATTATATATAGCTTCATTCATTTTGGTATGCATATATTTTATATACTTATTATTTGTATTTTATATAATATTTATATTTAAGTTTGGGATCCTAACTCAGCTTCCTTCCTCTTCTTCATAGAATTTGGAACTTAAAATATATAGAGGGCAAATGAAACACAAGTAAAGAATTGTATGAGAATTGCATGATAGTCTTCTAGTATTTTAAATCAAATTTTTCGGCTGGAGTCACTTTTTCTAAGATCTTAGTGAGGACCAATTTTTTTTTTCTCTTAAAAAGAATATCTCTAGCCATAAGGACTTCTGCTAAATAATTTCAAAGCTCAGGAGGTCAAGACAAAACACACTATTAAAGCAAAACACTATTTGCTAAACTACTTTTAATGCAAAGAAATTGTAAAAATTCAAATGGAACTTAAACTTGCTAAATATCATATTAGTAAATAATTCAGATTATTTAAAAGTCTTCAAATTGGGAAAAAAAAGGATGACAAATGTGGGTCAAATCTCTATAAGACAGAACAAATAAATGGCTTTCTGGATGTTAACTGAAATTTCTAGTTCATTTATATATTTGGAGAATCTTCAAGTGAAACCATGACTGCATGTACATGTATTTGAATAACCTACTTATGTAAGAAAACTACAAAAATAAGCTGATTTAACTCTAAAAAATACTAAATCTAATAATTTGTCTACATCAAATTTCAAATACTATTTTATTGTATTTTTTTAATGTTTATGAGAGAGAGGAAGTGTGCAAGCAGGGGTGGGGCAGAGAGAGAGGAGAGAGAGAATCCAAGCAGGCTTCATGCTGTCAGCACAGAGCATGATTTGGGGCTTGACCTCACCAACGATGAGATAATGACCTGTTAAAATCAAGAGCTGGACACTTTACCGCCTGAGCCACCCACGTGCCCTAATTTTAGATTATTTTAGGTTACTTCAACCCAAGATGTCAACACTTTATGTAAGAATTTTTCAAGCCGCACGTCATTTGATAACCTTAAAAATATTCAATATCAATAAAATGTAATAATTCTTAAAAACTGATAGAATTGTCAGGACGCCTGGGTGGCTCATTCGATTAAGTTGTTAAGCATCTGACTTATTTCCACTAAGGTCATGAGATCACACTTTGTGAGTTTGAGACCTATGTCAGGCTGTGCACTGCTCTGCTTAGGATTCTGTCTCCCTCTCTCTCTCTGCCCCCCGACCCCTGCCCCACCACTCTCATGTACATGGGCGTGTGGGTGTGTGGTCTTTCTTGCTCTCAAAACTAAATAAATAGACATCTTTAAAAACTGATAAAATTGTATTTATTGTTGCTTTAGATTTTATACAATTTCCCCTCACTTGAGATGTTTTAATGCACTTTCCAAACATTTCTTGAAGTATCTTGTTGACTAAATGTTATATGAAATAGACTGATGCTGTATGAAGATACTTAGAACAAAATGGCAATCTGTACATTTTATAGAGTAAAAGACTCCAAAGTAAACTCTTCAATGAAAACAGTGATTAAAGAAAATGATATTATTTATTTGATCCTAACTCTCCAATTTGGTTAAAGTTTTATTTAAAAAAAATTTAATGTTTATTTCTGAAAGAGAGAGAAAGAGAGAGAGAAAGAGAACAAGCAGGAGAGGGGCAGAGAGAGAGGGAGACACAGAATCCAAAGAAAACTCCAGAATCTGAGCAGTCAGCATTAAAGCCCAACGCAGGGTCCAAACCCATGCACTGTGAGATCATGACCTGAGCCAAGGTCTGATGCTTTATGCAGCTGAGCTACCCACGTGCCCCTAAAGTTTTATTTTAAACTGAAGATTTCAAATTGTCTTTGTTGAATGAAAACAAATCCAAGCAGATGTATGCTGCTGTATTAGCAAGTTGACTAATGCTTAAGTTTCAGCTTGCTAAAGGAATACAAAATAATCATTGATATAACCCAAATGAATCACACTATTGGCTTAATCGGGCAGTATGGCTATTTAGAACTGGGGTGAAGTAGATACTTTAGATTGAGTATTATCTGATATTTGAGAAAACCATCTTTTCTAAACACAACCCTATTGTACTGACAGTAATAATACAAATTCTGATGACAAATTATCTAAATTTGAGAATGCTATTTAAAGGCTACAGGCTTATTTGTTTTCATAAAACAAATATAAACAAATGAAATGTCTTTCTGGATCTGTTGAAAGTCAAATTGAAATCATTCAAAATATGTTAAGCAATCTGAATTATAACTCATTTTATAAAGCTTATAGTGCTTAGGGGAAAAAATGTACCTGAATTCACAGCTAACATGAGATTTGCAATACAAAATAAGTTAACAAGGAAGCCAATGACATAAGCCCTAGGGTAATGGTACTTGCTGGAACAAAAAATACTATATAATAATTCCAGAGAAGGACTCTGCAACTACTCAGAAATTATATTTCTTTGAAAATGATAACTTACAGTAATCCTGTCATTTCCCACAAATATTTTTCATCAGATTTGGCACATTTCACCTGTCGTGACATGTATGAAAAACAAAGATGTTCATCGTTTCAATAATTTACTGCTCTTCAGTTTGAATAAAAAGAGCTTGAGAATTTTCTACTAGGTCTGTGATTTCTCACACCTAAAATATAACCGTTGGGCATTTATTTTTAATTATCATCTCTTCCACAATTACATTTTTCATTAGTGAGAAATTAATCCTATCAAATCAGTATTAGAATAATGATATTTAATACTTTTCTAGAAATCAGGATTTTTGAATTTGTTTTCAAAATATGATGCCCTCCTTAAATATGTGTTTATATTTGCATGAGTATTATGATAAACCATTTTGCACTGGGTATATTGCTAAGAAGTATGTTTGATTAAAGATGTTATTGAGTACTCAAAGGTACAGGTATAGACTACTAAATGATGCATACAAATATAAAACTGTATAATCACCCTATAGCATAACCTTACCACTTCCTCAACAACAGATGAAAACATTAATAATTATTTCATCCTTTTTTCTCACTAATTGCTCATTGACCTTACTTAGCAGTTTTAAGAGTAATACATTAATATATTTTTTAATTCCTATGAAAATGTTTATTTATTTATTTTTGAGAGACAAAGAGCATGTGCACGAGCAGGGGAGTTGCAGAAAGAGAGGGAGACAGCGAATCCAAAGCGGGCTCCATGCTGATAGCGTGTATCATTGGAGCCCAATGATACTCGTGAACTGTGAGTTCTCACCAAGCCACCCAGGTGCCTCAATATATTAGCTTTTCTAAATTTACTTATCTTATTGCTGGAGTTTGTACCTCTTAATTCATTGCACCTATTTCACCCATCCCCACAGCCAATATATTATCAATCTTAATAATATTTATTTGTATCTTAGAATATATTTTGGTTGTAAACACCATTTTTATTTGTGCCTATGACCAAATTCATTCTTTCATCAACATCCTGCATAACAGTGGTAAACTATGATATAATAAATATATAACATTTATTAGCTCATTTAAATAAAACATTTAATAATTTTGTGTGGCATTTATTCTGCTTAAGAATTTATATTAAAGTTCTGATTTCATATAAACTTAAATTAAGCATTGTTAAGCTGTATTATCATTAAGAGGTTTGTTACCAATACTTTGATAAAAATATTTGTAAGCATAACTGTTTAGTTGCCTGTTATGCAGTGGTCAATAGCACAATGAGCCCAACTGAAAGTGACAATTAAGACTTTAATCCTTGGGGTGCTAGGGTGGCTCAGGAAGTTAAGTGTAAGACTCTTGATTTCAGCTCAGGTTATGATCTCAAGGTTTGTGGGTTCAAACCCTGGATGGGGTTCTCCACTGACAGTGGAGAGCCTATTTGGGATTCTCTCTCTCCCTCTCTCTCTGCCCCTCTCTGAATTGTGTGTGCACATGCAATCTTTCTCTCCCTCTGTCTCTCTTTCAAAATAAATCAACTTATGAAAAAGACTTAATTTACAGTGACACAAGCAAGAGGCAAACGAAAAAAACTGCCAGTTTCCCAGTGATCAGGTAACATGCAGTTCAGTTGGGGGAAAAATGTCTCAGTAAAGGCCCCCCCAAGAAGAGGTCCCTGCAAAGACTCAGCCAGTTATGCCTAAAGAGAGTGATGGGATGGAAATTCAAGTAAGTCGGGCTAGCCTAGGCTTACTAAGTCTTTGGCTGCAGTTCCATCCGGAAAATCACATACACTGACTGTACACCAGTGAGGTAATGGCCACCTCCCTTCATGAGGCCTGCGTTGTATTGCCGGTAGCTCAGCCTGAAAGGTTGCATATAAGATTTTGGAATAGAAATGGGCTTATTTAATGGCTTTAAATGACAAACCATGATCCAGTTTACCCATAACATGGACAATTAAAAGCTAAAGTAACAAAGTTTTATGCTAATATTAAGCTGTATTCTTTGATGGCAATTTATAATCTATCTAAAATTTCTGGCTTAGAAGGAACATTGTTTATTATTGTTATTATTATTACCATTTCTATGGTTTAGAAAAATCTCACCTTATAAGTAGCAAATTCATGAGGAAAAAACAGAAACTCACTTCCCTGCTTTTTTTTGCAGTTATCATGTAAGCAAATGACTGATACTCTTCCAGTTTCGATTCATATTTTACTGAAAGGAAAAAGAAAACGCCACTTTTGTCTTCTGTCATTATGGACAGTTACATACATGAGAAAATTATCCCTTTAAAAGTAAATAAATTGTTGGATAAAAAATAATAAAAACATAAATTTAAAACGAATTAACTGGACAAGAAAATAAGAAAACCTCAAAAGTCAAAAGTCAATTAATAATTGAAAATTTAAGAGGTAGGTTGGTATTGAGATGCCTGGATGGCTCAGTTGGTTAAGCGTGCAATTCTTGATTTTGACTCAGGTCATGATCTCAGGACTTGTGAGATCTCTCAGTGCGGAATCTGCTTGGGATTCTGGGTCTCCCACTCTCTCTGCCCCTCCCCCCCCCCCCGTGGCGGGGCGGGGGGGGGGGGGGGGTCGGGGGGGCTCTCTCTCTCTTTCAAAATAAATGAACATTAAAAAATGAAAAGAAATAGGCCTCTATTGCTATATACTTCTCCTGTAGGACCTTTTTTGCTGCATCCCGAAGGTTCTGGACTGTTGTGTTTTCGTTTTCATTTGTTTCCATGTATTTTTATATCTTCTTTGATTTTCTGGTTGGCCCATTCATTGTTTAGTAATATTTTGGATTTTTTTTTGTTTTTTAAATGTACTTATTTATTTTGAGAGAGAGAGCAAGAAAGAGTAGAGGAGCAGCAGAGAGAGGAAGAGACAGAATCCCAATCAGGCTCCATACTGTCAGCAAGGAGTCTGACATAGGGCTTGAACTCCTGAACCATGAGATCATGACCTGAGCCAAGATCAAGAGTCAGATGCTTCAATGACTAAGCACCCCAGGTGCCCCATGTTGCATGTTGTTTAACCTCCATGTATTTTTTTTTTGGTCTTCCCACATATTTTGTTGTTGGTTTCTAACTTCGTAGCATTGTGATGAGAAAAGTTGCATGGTATGATTTCAGTCTTTCTGCATTTGTTGAGGCTTGTTTTGTGACCTTATATATGATCTGTTCTGGAGAATGTTCCATGTGCATTTGAAAAGTATGTATTCTGCTGTTTTAGGATGGAATGTTCTGAATATATCTGTTAAGTCCATCTGGTCCAGTATGTCACTCAAAGCCATTGTTTCCTTATTGATTTTCAGTTTAGATGACCTGTCCATTGATGTAAGTGGGGTGTTAAAACCCCCTACTATTATTGTACTATTATCAATTAGTTCCTTTATATTTGTTATTAATTGTTTTATATATTTGAGTGCTTTCATGTTGGGTGTATAAATATTTACAATTGTTATATCTTCTTATTGGATTATCCCCTTTATGATTATATAATGCCCTCTTTGCCCCTTTTTACAGTCTTTATTTTAAAGTCTAGTTTGTCCGATATAAGTATTGCTATTCTGGCTTTCTTTGGCATTAATTTGTGTGATAAATGTTTCTCCACCCCTCACTTTCAATCTGCAGGTATCTTTCAGTCTAAAATGGCTTTCTTGTAGGTAGCATATAGATGAGTCTTTTTTTTTTATACATTCTTATATCCTACCCTATGTCTTTTGATTGGAGTGTTTAGTCCATTTAATTTCAAAGAAACCCTCTTTTTGCTTTTTTTTTGTTTCAATTTTTTTTTAGTTAGTTAATATATGAGGGTCAAAGGAACCCTCTTACACTATTGGTAGGAGTGCAAACTGGTGCAAACATTCAGGAAAACATTATGAACTTTCCTCAGAACGTTAAAAATAGAATTACCATGCAATCCAGCAATGGCACTACTATGTATTTACCCCAAGAATACAAAATACTAATTCAAAGATGTATGTACATACCGATGTTTATAGCAGCATTATTTACAATAGCCAAATTATGGAAAAAGCCCAAGTGTCCATCGACTAATGAATGGATAAAGAAGTGTTTTGTGTATATGTGGGTGTGTATATGTACGTATATATATATACGTATATATGTATATATGTATTATATATGTATATATACGTACATATACATATGTGTATGTGTGTACATATATGCATATATGTACATGTATGTATATGTGTACATATATGTATATGTATATATATATAATGGAATATTAACTGAGCAATCAAAAAGAATGAAATCTTGCCATTTGCAACAATGTGGATTGAGTTAGAGAGTATTATGCTAAGTGAAATAAGTCAAAGAAAGACAAATACCAAATGATTTCATTCATATGTGGAATTTAAGAAACAAACCAATGAGCAAAGAGCAAGAAAACCAAAAGAGGTAAACCAAGAAACAGACTCTTAACTATAGAGAACAAACTGATGGTTATCAGAGGGGAGGGGGATGAGGGGATGGGTGAAATAGGTGATGGGGATTAAGGAGTGCACTTGTGATGAGCACTAGGTGTTGTATGAAAATGTTGCATCACTGTATTATACCCCTAAAACTAACATTACACTGTATATTAATTATTAATTTAAATAAAAAGTTTTACAAAAGAGAAAGAAAAGTTAAGATAGAAAAAGAGAGAGTGAGAAGAAGGAATGAGGGAGGAAGGGAGAAAGAAAGGAAAGAACAAAGAAAGAAAGAAAAGAAAGATTCATACCAGTTTTAGCTCTTTGGATAACCACCGAAGTCAAATAAACACTAGTTTCTCTCTCTCTGCCTCTCTCTCTGTCTCTCTGTCTCTCTCTTTTCCTCTATTTTGTTCATTTTATTAATTACTTAGGCATATGTTAAGTGTTCACAACTTAATGATTTGTATAGGGTGCTCTGATTTTCCACTGTATCATTATCAAATGTCTTTCATTTTAATAATTCTTCTAGACTTAAAGTCTACTCTGTGTGATATTAATATATCTACACTAACTCTTCTTTGTTTGGTGGTAGCCTAATGGACAATATCATTTAAAATTGTATTGGCAAATATCAAATAGCTTGGAATAAGTCTATCATAAAAATAAGACCTCCGCATGAAAACTAAAAAAAAAAAGCATCGTACAGGGAAATTAAAAAAAAAAAAAAAACACAACTTAATAAATGGATGAGTCTATCATGTTCATGAATAATCAGACTCCATATTATAAAGATGACAATTCTCTTCACTTTAATATGTTACATATACTATATAATTTCAACATAACCTTTCTTTTTATTTTGCAGTAATTGTTTATCAAATCATAAACCACATAGCCATGAAAAGACTCCAGAAGAGTCAAGAGAATCTTTAAGAAGAAAGCTGGAGGACTTACACCATCATACAGTAAGACATATTATAAAAATACAGTAAATTCTAATGTGGCATTTACTTTATTTATTCATAAGAAACTATATTAATATTCCATAAGTAAGAACACGTAAATTAGATTGGCACAAAACAGTAAAGAAATTCAATGACTTACTCTTTTACAAAAAAGTTTGTGCATAATATTCTTAGCAATTGAGAAAATATTTAGTTTGATGGTATGCTTTAACTATTTTAAATATTGGTCTCGGGACAGTTGCATAAAACTACATGTATTTTGTTTCATCAGATATTCTCCTTAGAAAATAAAATAATCATTAATCAAATACTGTAAAATAAATTAGTAACATAATAAATATATATAGTGAACAAATAATATACTGTAAACAAGGAATATGCATCAGGGAGTATAATGATTCTTCAGTTTAGAAACTTAATATAGTTCATCAGTTAAGGTGATTAACAGAAAATAGCATGAAGCATCAGTATACGTTCTAGAAAGCATTGTTAAAATTCCATAGCCAATTATGTTAGAAAAAAGAACTTCAACAATATTAAAATATAAATATAGTTTCTCAACCTCGTAAATAAGTACATGTTAGAAACCTAGATTTCAAAAGGACCCATGGAATTAGGTGTACATAATCTGTGTTTCACAGTCTTAATTGCGTATTCCTTTCTCAAAAGAGGGTGTTCTACATGTGCTGGACTAGAAGAATCAGTAAGAGATATGAGTTTAGCACATCACATTCTCTGCCAACATTATCCTTATAATTGCCCAGTTATTTTATTTATTCTTTTACTAATTTATTCTCATTAGTTCAATGAATACTTATTGAGAACCTACTTTTTGCAATATATTGCATTAAGTATGGGTGCAGATAAAAGACAAATAAGATATAGAACTTGCTTTCTAATATCTTTTAAATTATATTACCTATATATTTGTGTTTCATAAGTACATATTTATATGTGTTATACCTATTTATATGCATTTTCATCAGTATTATCCAATAATTTTGATACTTGTACATATGTGTTTATTGGTAGATAGGGGGCAATGGAAATAATTTAACTGAATTGACATACAAAACTAAAATAAGTTAAAATGTCCCATCCAAAGTCATAAAGGTAAAAGTTTATCTTTAAAAAGTTTACTGAATAATTATCCTCATATGTTTGTAACTAATGAAATTTATTAAGTGGATATATGAAAACATGTTGTAAAACACACTGTGTCAACTTGTTTTGATAATTTTTATTTGAAGCAAACACTTGTCTTCTAAAGTTGACTAAAATAATTCAATGTTTTCTCATTAAGACAATAAAGATAATATATATGTTAAATTTAATGGTACTTTTAGAATGTACAAAGTACAAAATTTCCTGGGATGTATGGTTATAATTATTATTTTATCAATCCGTCCCTTTGGGTGAATATTTTAAGTTAATTTTGACCAAATTAAATGCCAGAAACAATATATTATATTTCATATGTTACTACCTACTAAAATCATAATGCTGATTTATTGCTGTGATCTTCTATTTAAAGCATGAACAAGAACTATTAAACTCTCATTCCAGAAGGGAAATTTTTATTATTAACAGATGCATTCTAACTGGGGAGTCTCATGCAGCTATGAAATATGAGTCTTACTTCAAGATGCATTTATTCATTACATGTGTATAGGGACCAAGAGGTAGTTCAGCTCTGGGCCCAGGCTGTATCTTGGCTCCTGTTGTCATCAGCTCCCTAAGTGATTCTGCTCCCCTTGTCCCCAGAGACCTGCCCATTGTTATATTTCTTCCTGTGTAAACAGTATTTTGCCAGTACAGATGAGTACTCTCTCCTCCTTCCTACTTTGCTCTAATAAAATACCCATTTTTCACAAGCAGGAGGACATTCATTTTTCCCACATCATTTTTCAAGTACCAAATCATGGCATTTCAAATTTTAAGTAAACAAAAAGTCCAATTTTTCATAGTGACAGCAACTGCATTGATGTATGAACCTGAAACACCAAATGACTTATTCCTGATGATATTTGAAGAAGCCCCTTGTATTTCTAAAACATGTCAAAATGATTTGTTTTGGCATCACAGTACAGCCTTGTTTATGTAAGCTCTTAATAGCCTATGTTTGATTATCCGGGGTATAGGTCCTTGTTATAAATTAGATTCCATCTGCTAAACTACCCTCATTATAGGTTCGAAGGACAGATAATGCCACATACTCCTTACTTAAATAAATCTCAGAAGCTTGCAGTCTGCCTAATTGACTTACTAAAATCTTGGAAGCAGTAGAAACAATGATAAACATGAAGCTTCTCTTTTTTTTTTTTTTTCACCTTTGGAGTGAGCTGCAGTACAAGTGTCTAGGCAATCTCCAAAATGGACAGAACCTGTTTTCTTGTCTGGATATCTCAAGAGAGAAAAATAAATGTCACAGCAATTGCCTTTTTGTTTTGTTCTAGTCACAGAACCATAGGGATGTGTTTTAAGAAGAAAGTACTTGTAGCCGTCAACATAATGCTATGCCCATCCCTGCACTGCCCTGTGTGAGTGGACAGTGATAAATGAAAAGGGCTGTAAAAAAGCAAGTGTTCACTTCAGATCTGAGGTTTCTACCTTTCAGGAGTGATTTGCTTGGCCCCCATGGCTTAAAGGGTGCCAAAAAGTACTCATTACTGTTTTTTTCCCATGACTCTGGTGGAGTATAATGATATAGTTCAGTGATTAGAAGGCTAAGATCTAGAATAAGAATGCAAAATTGTGAAATTCTCATTTAGATTTTGTTTTTTTTTTATACTTGTGAGACTTGGGGGAGGGGCAGCTCGGGCCCTAATTTAATGTGTGTGTTGATATAATTGACATACAATAACTGCACATATTTAAAGCATACAATTTCTCATGCTTTGATATATTTAGATACCAGGGAATCTATCACAAGCAATATAATAAACATATTCATCACCCCTAAAGGTTTCCTGATGCTGCTTTGTAATTCTTCCACCCGCCCCTCTCTGCTACTCTCCTGTTCTCATAGGCAACTACTGATCTGCTTTCTGTTAGTACAGATTAGTTTTTATGTTCTGAAATTTTGTATAAATGGAGTTATGCAAAAAGCAAAAGATATACAAAAGAGACAAATGCATATATTTGGGGGGGCTCTAATTTTACTAAACATAATTATTTCAAGAATTATTCATGCTGTTTTGTTTATTCTTTGTTCCTTACATTGCTGAATAGGATTCCATTCTGTGCTTATGCCAAGTTTTGTTTCTGTGTTCCCCTGTTGATAAACATTTGGGTTGTTTCAAGTTTTTAGCTATACTACTAATAAAGCTAGTATGAACATTCCTATACAAACCTTTCTAACAACAAACTTTTCGGTTGTTGTCAATATTAGTTACATATCTAGGATTAGAGTGGCTAGGTTATATGGTAGGTGTCGGCTTAACTTTTTTAGAAGCTGCTAAATTGTTTTCCAAAGTAATTATAATGTTTTACATACCCATTAGGAAAGTCTGAGAGTTCCAGTTTCTCCACACCCTTGCCAACACTTTTATTGTGAGCTATTTAATTGTAATCATACTAATGTGTAATGGAATTCCCAAGGAAATCTTCATTTCCTTAGGATTTTGGTGAAGTGTCTGTTCTAAATTTTGCCCTTAACATTGTGTTTCAAAGAATTTTAATATTTTTATATATTGCAACTTATCATGTTTTATGTATCCAAGTTTTAGAGTCATATCTAAGAGTGTCTTGCAAAGAGAATTTTAAAATTTTTGAAAAATGTTTCACTGGAGGCAAAAGAAACGATAACAAACATGAATTATTGGAACTTATGATAAAAAAAAAGCTTCTGCACAGTGAAGGAGATAATCAACAAAACTAAAAGACAGTCTATGGAATAGGGGAAGATATTTGTAAAAGACCTATCAGATAAAGGGTTAGTATCCAAAGTGTATAAAGAGCTTATCAAACTCAGCACCCAAAAAACAAATAACCCAGTGAAGAAATGGGCAGAAGACATGAATAGACAATTTTCCAAAGTAGACATCTAGATGGCTAACAGACATGTGAAAAGATGCTCACCATCACTCATCATCAGGGAAATATGTAAGTTAAAACCATGATGAGATACCACCTCACACCTGTCAGAATGGCTAAAATTAACAACACAAGAAACAACAGGTGTTGGAGAGGATGCGGAAAAAGGGGAAACCTCTTGCACTATTGGTGGGAATGCACACTGGTGAAGCCCTCTGGAGAACAATATAAATGTTCCTCAAGAAACTAAAAATAGAACTACTCTACAACCCAGCAATTACAATATTAGGTATGTAATTACCCCAAGGATATAAAAATACAGAATCCAAGAGATACATGCACCCTGATGTTTATAGTTGAGTTATTAACAATAACCAAACTATGGAAAGAACCCAAGTATCCATCAATTGATGAGTGGATGAAGAAGATATAGTATGTATATACAATAGAATATTACTCAGCCATCAAAAAGAATGAAATCTTGTCATTTTCAACATCGTGCATGGAGCAAGAACACATTATGGTAAGCAAAATAAGTCAATCAGAGAAAGACAAATACCATATGATTTATCTTATATGTAGAATTTAAGAAACAAAACAGATGAACATATGGGAAGGGAGGAAAAAAGAAAGATGGAAACAAACCACAATTCATTTTTTGATGGATCCTGGTTTTATAATCATATGTAAGAAGGATTTGCCTAACCTGAACTTCTAGAATAATACACATATACGTTTACATTTATGTCTTTATTTTAAGAAAATTTATCTGTCATCAGCATTGATTTAGTTAATTATTTGCATATGGATATTCAATTATTTCAGTATAGTTTGTTGAAAGATTATGCATCCTGCACTGAATTACGTTAGCAACTTGGTTGAAAATCATATTCCAACCACTGTCAGTATGTGTCCTATGTGTGTGGGTTTTTTTGGGGAAGTTTACATCCAGAGACACTAATCTA